ATATACAAGGCCACCACAACCTTATTCCTGACTTCTTAACCTGTCCACAACCGGTTCAAGTCATCACACCTTGCAAAACCTTCCCTCTTATCCTCATGTATAACAGTATCCACGCACCTCTGTGTTTTTCGGTAAGACCAGATCATAGCTTTCCTCCCGGACTAGACAATATAGCCTCACTACACCAAATCAAAACCGATGCAAGAGCCCACCTGTTCTATTACCTAACCCGAATCTCCATAAAAATCAGAAATCTTCATACTCAAGATCTGTATAACCCAGATCAGCCATACCTTTCCATCTACCACCTTCAACCGTTAGGCGAAATCACCAAAGATGACATATGGTATCTCTGGTGCCAAACAGCTCTCTACAAGATCGCCTTTAACTGTCCACTCATGCACCTTTATGAACATATCAATAATTCCAGGAATGAGAATTCATCTTTATGGCAACTCTTAAAGATGTTCAATCTCCTTCCATGGTGGAGAAAAGAAGTCTCAAGACTTTTTCAGAAATACAACATATGGACTTTCTCCCCATTAGATATTCATCAGGTGCACACCCTATTCCTCATACATTGCCCATACCTGCTCAACTCAGAAACCCAAAGATTATACACCTAACACGAAGTATACCCTTTGCAAACCAGCTTCACCTATCCTCAAGACCTTGACAAAAGCACTGATCACCTCTTCAAAGCACTGTGTAGAGAAAACAGACACAACCCCGATCCTCCTCTACAACCATCCACCAGCTCTGCGATAGCTCCACCTACTCAGATCTATGGACCATACAACATCTTCACTGTCAGCAACAGTCGCTATTTCGAGCAAGACACACCAACAATCGCACCAACATTCGCCTCTATTCCTCCATCATCACAACAAGACTCGCAAGATCAGCCTAACTACAGTTCGACACTGTTCCAAGACTCACAAGACCCAGACCTTCCAGATGGCCTCATCGAATACATACCACCTTCCACAAAAAGACATAAAGTGTGGTACCCACATGATAAGCCATACGAGTGAGGTTCAACGAACACAAGCTCATCCTTGTCAGACTACACTTCTCTATGCAATGACTAGATCCTCTCAGCTGTCCACTATGTACAGAAGCTTGTCCTCTTTCGTCTAAGTCAAAAGTAGAATAGTAACTTGTCTGCCAGTCCACCTAAAGTGGCCTTATCTTTGTTTAATTAGTCACAGGCGGAATAGTAAGAAATCCGCTTTACCTAAAGTCTTTTGTTTTCTTGTAACATAAGTCAAAAAGTTAATAGTGTAAATCTTATCCTGCCAGATAAGATCAGAGTCCTTTGTGTGCTGCCTCAGCTATATAAGGTGAGGCCATTCTCTTGAGAAGGCAGAGAAGCTTGAACCAAGAGAGCTTTGTATAAACAAGTTTGTTCAATAAAAATATGAGTTTCTAAACAGCTTTACTTCGCCTCTAAAATTATGAGCTCCTCTTCTTATATCATAATCGCTTTTCTCCCTGACACAGTATGCTCTGTGCATGCCTCTAGTAGAGGATCCTGTACATCAGAAAGGTTTAAGCCTAAGATCCTTGCTATGATCTCCATGACCATAGGTGATGAGCACCTGTAGCACTAAAAGCTAAAAGTACGTAAGAGGCGGAAAGACGCTATACAGTGCTAGGGTCTCTCTTTGTTTATGGTTTGTGGATCTCTCGGCCTTACCACTCATTCTTCAGAATGAAGACCTTGAAAAGGGTATATTTTCTTAAATTTATGTTCTGCTTTATTCTTCTTTTCTTTTTTTACACTTCTCAAAAAATAAATATTAATGTAATTACGTATAGATATCCTTCTTATTTCCAATATTCTTAATTATCAAATTTTAAATCCATTTGGAAATTTACTTAAATCCAAACTTTATAAATTTAAATCTCTATCAAATTTGTAAGTTAAGTACATAAGTTCAAATGCAAATAACCAAATTGATCAAGATTTTAAATTTAAATGTAAAAAAAAAAAAGCAACTTTTAACAAATATTTCCTATATTTACTAAAATAAACACATTTTCCTTTTGTTCGTGGCGCGGCAGAATAGATAGGGATTGAATTATACCGACCTAATCCGGATGGAGGATTCTTAAATCCACTCAATGAAACTCCACAAAGGAAAGATCCTTAAATTGGAGAGAAAACTCATCTTAGTATTTAATTCTCAAAATATTCAAGTTCTCCTAATACAATAGTATAGTGGCTATTTATAGTCCACTCACAAAACGATCACACAATACAAATTAAGATAAATGATAAATTAATAACAAAATAAGCTAAATTAGAAAATTAAAACAAATGATAATAAAATATATTTAGAACTCCTGCGTCAGTTCACCCTTTCCATCGAATAGAACTTGCCCTTGAGTTTGGTAGTGTTGGGGAGATATTGGCCCAACACACTTAGTCTAACTTGACCTTAAAAGTTAACCTATTAGGTCTTAAGTCCTTCCATGTATATAAACCACTTTACATTTTCATCCACTTTCTATGTGGGACAACACACACATGCACTTTTCTCAATAATCTCCCTCTCATATGTATGTTCTCCGAGTTCCCCCTTGAACCAAAGTTTATAGTAGTCGGCACGTCCAAGCATCATACTCTAAACGGTAGCCAACTCTAGCATGGGAAAGAGAGCTAAAACTATGCAAGTCCATCAATACTCCACCATCCGCACCTGCAACAACACCAATTGTGAGAACATCAACTCTCCACCGGAGGCAACGTGGGAACTGCAACCGAGTGTGATCGCTTAGCCCATATGAACCATCGGCTCTAATACCACTTATTGGGAACCACATGCAAAACTGGCCCAACACATTTCACGAGTCCAACTTGACCTAAAATGTTAACCTATTAGGTTTTGGGTCCTTCTATATATATAAATCACTTTACATTCTCATCCACTTTTTATGTGGGACAACACACACATGCACTTTTCTCAACAGGTAGAAACATGTTGGAATGAACCAATAGTTACTAGCAGTAATGTATGATGAAGGAAACTCGGGGAGGTCTAAAAATAAGACCCCTATTAGTCTTGTAGAAATGATAGACTCCAATGGAAAAGTTCATCTGGAGCTCATCCCAAATCTATAGTGACATTAAAGTAATCCACCAATAGAATACTGAAAACGGCCAAGCTATTCGCTATTGATGGCGCCTCACTCCTTTGGTGGTCTCAAAACCACTCAATGTAATAGTGAAGTCTCCCACAAGATGTATGTGAAATGGGTCAAGATTGCCAGCAAACCATTTGAAAGTATTCACGCAGATGTTTGAGGACCTTCACCTCATGTTTCTCAAGATGGTTTCCGTTACTACATTCATTTGATTTCGCCAAGTATATTTGAATCTTTCCCTTAAAAGTAAAATCTGATGCTAAATCTGTCTTTGTTCATTCATGACCTCAACAATCAATTTACCTTGAAGACTCTAAGCTCAGTCAATTACTTTCTCGGGTATGAGGCTTACAGAGATAACGATGGTCTTTTATCTTACTGAAAAGAAGTGTGTGAGAGACTTGTTACAAAAGGCTAACATGGCAATTGCCAAAGCTGCTCCTACTCCAATGTGTGAGAAGCAAAAATTGTCCTCATCCGATGGAACTCCAATCGACTTTGTCAGTCTTTATATAAGTTTTATTAGTGGCTTGCAGTACATGACCATGACTCGGCAAGATATTTATTTCTCAATACATAAAAGGTCAGTTTAGAATTGCTGTACTTTTAATAGAAGCACTACTTTTACTTAAAATAAAATCAGAAGCAGAAATAGAATTTAAAAATTATATATTCTAACTTCTAAAAGTAACTTAAAATGCACATTGATTTATGTGCAAAGTATTTTAGTGCACTTTTACCAAATACTATAGTTGTATCGTTTATTGTGTAAAGTGCTTTTGAGAGTTTTTAAAGCAATCCTAAACACGCCCAAACTCAGTTAATTTCTTAAAGCTCCAACAGATGCTCATTGGACAACTTGTAAACGAGTACTAAGGTATTTGCAAGGTACCTCTGATAATTATGGGTTACATTTCGCAACAAACTCAAAGTTATTGTCACTTGAGGGATTTTCTGATGCAAATTTGGCTAGATGTATAGAAGACAGGAAATCAACAAGGAGCTAAAAGTGAGAAATGTCTCAACAGAATTTCAAGTTGCCGATATTTTCATAAAAGCCTTGTTACAATCCAGATTCTGCTTTCGTAGGAACAAGCTAACACTCACTAAACCCCTCTGTAGCTTGAGGGGAAATGTTGAAGAGTCTAGTTAGGCTTTAACAGAATATCAGTTTGTTAGAAAGAAGTTTTAATTTCTGAGGCTTAACAGAATATCTCTCTTTCTCTCTTAATTTCTCTCTCTCTATTTTTGTTCTTGTAAGTTTCTTTTACCGCGTTTAGGGGGAAAAATGAGAATTTATTTATGTTTTGTTGAGTTACTTTCATTATCAATAATATATATTTGAAATTTTAAATGTGGATCTTCATTTTTGAATTTAATGCATTTTGTTTATATAAAAAAAAATTATTCAAATAAAATTAAACAATAAAAATCACTTAAAAATAAAAAATATTTAGTCATTTATGCTTTTTGCAACTAACATCAAAAGTCTGAAACCTTTTTGTGACCACACAACATTTAGTCATAAAAAACTTGTATATTGGTCTCCTAAAGACCAAATTGAAAGACTTTTAACGACTGCTATTTATGCTTTTTGCAACTAACAATTAATCATAACAAATCTGAACCTTTTTGTGACTACACAACTTTTAGTCATAAAAAACTTTCTACGACCGCGACCAAAGAACAACTAAATTTTTTTAGTCACTGAAAATTATCTGCAACTATATTTGAACTTTCTACGAATAAATTTTTAATTGTTGAAGACGATTTTTCTTGTAGTATATATGACACATAGTAGAACAACTCAGGTGCATGTATACATGTATATATAGAGTATTGATATATCCTTACTCTTAAAGAAATTAAATGATAACTTATCTTGCTTCAGATATTTCAATTAAATAAAATGTTCTACTACATGTGGGGCAACAATTTTAGATGAAACATAAGTCCACACCACACATTATATGGTCACCCATGTTTATGAAAAGCAAGAGGACAAGGAACAAATTAAAAAGAAATTTCAGGGCCATAAATGATTAATTTTCTTCTTCTTTTTTCTTGATTCCTTCTTAATTTATTCCAATTCAAGATATAAACCTACAGAGAATTAGCAATTTTGTGTGATGAAACGGGCTTTAAACCATGTTTTAGAGCAGCATTCCACACAAGGTCAATTCTGTCAACATCAAGGGCTCCGACTTCATGATGAGTCCAACCTTCTAACAGATGAACCACTCCACCCGCATGGCATGCATGCACAACTCCTCTATCCATGGTATACTGTAAAAAAGAGTATATCAATAAGAGTTAGAAAATAGATTAATATAATGAAGATGTAGAATTAAGCATGTAATCAAAAGTTCTATATGGAGGTAATTATTTGTTGCATTATTTTCCAAAAAAAAAAAAAAAAATTTATGGCAAACCTAACACTATTCAGGAATTTCATTTTTTACATTGACTGTTCTGCCGATTATATTGTTAAAAAATACACTTGGCAAAACCCTAAACCAACTTTTCTTTTCTTTTTTCTCTTTTTCATCTCTTTCCATTTTCTCCAATTTTGACAATGTAAATGCGTACGGCTCTCGGGTAGTGATGATGTGTCGGTGTTTGAAATGAAAGTCATAAATATTCAAAATAAAGCTAGGTTTGCTATAATTTTTTTTTTTTTTTATTTTAAAGAAATGTTATTTTTGAAAATAATCCTTAGTAAATTGTTGTGATAAAGGAAGAGAGTTTCACCTCACAAGATCCAAGCCCTTCAACATCTTCCGGTAATCTCATAGCTGCCAGGTCACCATAAGTGCAATCTCTTCTGAAGGATAAAATTGGTGGCACCACAAATTGATGAAAATGTGTCCCTGATGGAGCCCACCCTTGCTCCCTTGGCGTTATCCACTTGCCAACAATCCATGTCTACAATTGGCACCAAGATGTAAAGGTCATATTAATTTCGAGGCAAAAATATTTGAATGTCAGAGTCAACACATCTAATACACTCCTACTCCTTAACATATGATTGATTTATATGGATATGGTAATTAAATAGTATTAGGGTTTCTCGAGCAGTTAATAATTAATACATAAAATTTTGAGTCCCAAAATTAAGAACATTGCTAAACAACTCCGCATAGCTGCAACTTCTCAAGACACACAAGTGGACCTCACGTGAGCCCTACAAGGGAATGGGGCCCACCACTTTGTTTATGGGAGTTGTGGCTCTGCGGAGCCTATTATCATTTTTGCAAAATTAATGTGTGATATGTAATTAATTTGATCCACGTTTACTATTCGTAGGAAGACAAGTTATATTTTGAGCCAAAAATATTCAAATTTTCAAATAATAATTGTAATTTTAACATGCCTAACATATTATTGTTGACTCTATGGATATATATGATTGGACCGAATTATGGTTTTTCGAGCAGTTCATAAACTTAAGGGCCCCAAAATTAATATGTGAATATGTGATCAGTAGTGATGCATAAATCGTTACGATGTACCTTGCAGTTTTGGGCTGCATGGTATTTCGTGATTTGCACAAGGTAACTTTGGCAATCGGCAGGCGCTTCCTTCTGAATCTTTTGAAACCTCTCTGTTGATATAGTGAGCATCTGTAGATTTGATATATAATTAATAAATAAGAACATTTTGTAATATATAATGGTGGGCATGCGTGACATTACAATCATCGTGTTATATGATCGTCACCACACACACTTTCTCAGCTGTATATCATTGCTAATAATGCACGTAAATGGGGTCCACAATCTACATTAATTACTCATTGTAGCAAAAAAACTTAGTAATATGTTATATTTATAAAAAATACTAAAAGAAACTTTTCTCATTTTTCAGACCATAACATGACATTTCATAATATAGAAAAGTACAGCAAAATATTTTGTACGAGTCCAAGTCTCATCACATATTTGTTTGTTGAGTCTTTAGTATTAGAAAATTATTAGCAGACACCATCAGTGCTAAACACTACCATTAATAAAAGACGGTCCTCGTCATTGTATTAATGACCGGTGCTGACCACCAGCGGTATGTAATAATATTGTTTTAAGTAACATGACAAATAATAGAATTGGAAGAAAGAGAAGGATATACTTACAAGGACTCGCACTTTTCTTTGGCAAAGGTAAAGAGCAATG